ATGGGTGCATAAGTAAATGTGGTGAAGAAAGCTCATGGTGCCCAGCTATCAAAAGATATAGCATCTGGGGTCTTAAAGGCTTAAAGATAAACAAGTGGCCTTCTAGCTGAGAAGCATCAAAGCCCACATGGAAGAAGCACACCAGCCTGTCTGACCATGAGGTGCAGGAGGGACCAGTTATCAGACATCACAGAATTAAAAATCAGAGCACTGGGTGCCCACCTTCCTGATACGATCACTGAAGACAAACGTGTACCTAAGCAAAGATGGTGAAGAAAGCTGATGGTGCCTGGCTATCAAAAGATATAGCATCTGGGATCTTAAAAGCTTGAAGATAAACAAGCGGCCAACTAGCTCAGAAGCAACAAAGCACACATGGAAGAAGCACAACAGCATGTGTGACCATGAGCTGTTGAAGGGATCAGGTATCAAGCATCAAAGAACAAAAAATCACATCATTGTAAACAGGAGTGAGTGCAGAGTGGAGACCCAAAGCCCATCTGTAGGCAACTCGACACCCCCTTGCTGAAGGGTTGTGGGGAGGAGACGAGCCATTCAGGGTGCAGGGCAGCAACAATGGAACATATAACTTTGCTCTAGATCTTAAATGCTTCCTCCCCTCCACTATCATGATCCCAATTCTACCTTACAAATCTGGCTAGACCAGAGGATGTACATCGGTACAGATAGCAACTGGAAACACAGGGAATCCAGGACAGATGACTCCTTCAGGACCAGTGGTGAGAGGGACGATGCCTGGAGGGTGAAGGGAAGGTGGGGTAGAAAGGGGGAACCAATTACAAGAATCTAAGTATTGTCTCCTCCCTGGGGGAGGGACAGCAGAGGAGAGAGTGGGGGGAGACATCGTACAGTGTAACTTGGGACAAAACTATAAGAAGTTATGAATTATGAAGGGTTCATGATGGAGGGAGGAGTGGGGAGGGAGGGGGAAAATGAGCAACTGATGTTGAGGGCTACAGTGCGGGGCAAATGTTTTGAGAATGATGAGAGCAACAAGTGTGCATATATGCTTGACACAATGGATGTATGTATGGATTGTGATGGTAATTGTATGAGCCCCAAATAACATAATTTAAAAATATAATAATTTATAAATTATCAGGGGTTCATGAGGGCAGGGGGAGTGGGGAGGGAGGTGGGGGAAGAAAAATTAGGAGCTGATTCTAGGAGCCCAAGCAGAAAGCAAGAGTTTTGAAAATGGTGAGGGCAACGAATGTATAAGTATGCTTTACACAATTGATGTATGTGTGGATTGTAATAAGAGTTGTATGAGCCCCAATGAAATGATTTTTAAAAATCACAAAATAATTTTTAAAATACATGCGTAAATCCCTCACAATAACTTGATGAGATCTAAAGGAAATACCCTCATTTGATCATTTCAAATAACTTAATGATATAATAAATAATAGTACAATGCCACTATTCAACTTCCAATGGGTTAGAACATGACAATTATTAATATATTTGAAATCTTTGAATTTGTCTAAAATTATATTTCACTACAAATATTCATATAATACCATTGGTCTAAATTCTTAGTAGTTTTGACAAGACTAACTAAATTCCTTTGTTTTTACTTCTTGTTCTTTATCTTTTTTCAGATTTTAAGGTGGTAATATAATAATTACCAGATTTTACCAGATTTAAGGGGGTAATATAATTATCAGATTTTAAGGTGGTAATATAATGAAATATTTTCTAACCTGAATCTCACGTGAACTCTTATGAAGTAGGGACTGCTTCCATTTTGAAACTGAGACTTGGAATAATAAAGTCACTTTCCCCGGGACACACAATCAGGCAGCACACCAGGATGGAATGATAGGGCTTGTGTCTCTAAAGCTAGAGTCTTGTCTTGTTATAGATGCCATCCAGCTAAGACATCCTGCTTGCTATAGAAGCCATCCTGCTACCATGTCCCAGGAGGTAAACTAATTCACTGGAAATCAAAATCTCTAATCCACTGATACAATGATTAATTTTGAGGTCAGGAAATGTTTTCTTAAGAGGCTAGAATTGTTAGTATTTTAGGCCGTATGATCGCATGATCATATGTAACGGTGCTCGCTAGTGTGAAAACAGCCATAAACAAACTCTAGCAAATGTGAATGACTGTGTCTCAATATCACTTTCAAAAATAGGAAGCAGGCTGAATTTTGCCTGCGGTCTGCAGTTTACCCAGGCAACAAATGCTTAATTCTTTTACATAAGGTTTTACTTCTTCTTCATAAAAT